CAGACCTTTCCTTATGTCTCCTTCATGAGCCAGACTCTGGCCAACCATTCCTATGTGGACCTCAGTCTAGTGGGAAGACCTGATTTTCATAGTGGTGATGAGTGTTCAGTGTATCACTGACCTGACCACATGTTGTCGTGGTACTCAGGGTCTCCATCGTGGAGACTGGTATTTCCCTAATGGAACCCAACTGCCTTTCGCTGCAACTGAAACTAAAACCTATGAGCATCGTGTATCTCAGGGAGTTGACTTACGTCGTAACAGGGATGCTAACCCACCAACTGGTATCTATCGCTGTGGTATTCCAACTGATGCTGTCCATGATGCTAATGACATCTCAGTGAGAGACACAGTCTATGTGGGACTGTATACTGACAGTGGAGGTATGTTACTAATGTGTCCTAATGTTAACCCGTGGCATAGAATAAAAGAGAGTAAGAGTAGATCTGTCCATGACAGTGTAAAATGAGGATTAACTTTTTAGCCACCTCATGGAGAGTGTGCGTTAACCAGACTTGGCATAGAAAAAAGAGAGTGAATATATCTGTCCATACATAAGATGGTGTGAATGAGGATTAACTTTTTAGCCACTTGTTTAGAAATTTGGCACTTACTACCATTATAAAATTTAAAATGGGAAAGCTAGCTTTTCGAAGACAAGCTACGGCTAATTATAATCCTTGGTGTACTCTGAGACCCTTTATTATGGCCGTCAATTCTTGAAAGACACTTTTGCTGGGTTAACTCCTACATATATAGCTATATATAGCTATAAAGTAGTAATTGCAGTGACTATGCGGAATGCGTAGGATGTGTAGGGTAATTGCTCACTGCTATTTTAGCCACTTTCTATCCAGGATGTGTAAGTAACAACAGAGAGCTTTAAATTTTGATCGAGAGACTAGTTTTACCTGGAAAATGGCTCTAGCTGTTCTGTTGCTCCTGGGCTTGTTCTGGTCTCTGGTGTACTGCCAGACCTTTCCTTATGTCTCCTTCATGAGCCAGACTCTGGCCAACCATTCCTATGTGGACATCAGTCTAGTGGGGAATGATGGCAATGGTAGTGACAGTGTTCAGTGTATCACTGACCTGAACACATGTTGTAGTAGTACTGTTGGTTCTCATCGTGGAGACTGGTATTTCCCTAATGGAACTAGACTGCCACTGTTAACCCTCGGTGGTAGCTGGTATTTGCCTGATTGGACCAGACTGCCATTGTTTTATGCTGGTATCTTTGAGAATCGTGGTTCTCAGAGAGTTGACCTACGTCGTGGGAACAATGCTAACTCACCAGTTGGTATCTATCGTTGTGATATTCCGACTCTTGCTGTCCATGATGATACTGACACCTCAGTTAGAGACACACCAGTCTATGTGGGACTGTATGTTTCCAGTGGAGGTTGACAAGGAAGAGTGTTCTGATTAGTGAGGTGTCCTGATCAGTGAGGTGTCCTGATTAGAGAGGTGTCCTGATCAGTGAGGTGTCCTGATTAGAGAGGTGTCCTGATGAGTGAGGTTCAGTGAGGTGTCCTGATTAGTGAGGTGTCCTGATCAGTGAGGTGTCCTGATTAGGATTTAGGTTCTCTCTACAGTGTGAGGATAAGGACATAAAGACACATTTTCTCCTAAAAGGTCTAATGTATCCTGAAAGCTATGGTTTCCCACGCGCTATCAATATTTTCATCCTTTTTAGCCACCATTACACAGCTTACCAACTCTAATGTGTCCTATGGTGCTATGGTGAGTGTGTGTTCAGATTTGGCATAGAAAAAAGAGAGTTAATTAAACTAGAGTAGATCGGTCTATAACAAAAGTGGTGTAAATGAGGATTAACTTTTTAGCCACTTGCTTAGCAATTATGTACTTACATCCATTAGAAAACTAATAATGGGGATACCTACATTTTTCGTAGACAGCTATGGCTAATTGCAGTCCTTGGTGTACACTGGGGCCCTTTCTTATGACTGTCAATGCTGGAAAGGCTTTTGCTGGGTTTACTCCTACATAATATATGTGGAACTCAATATAGCTATAGTAGTAATTGCAGTGACTATGCGGAATGCGTAGGATGTGTAGGGTAATTGTTCACTGCTATTTTAGCCACTTTCCATCCAGGATGTGTAAGTAGATATTGTAACAACAGAGAGCTTTAATTTTGAGCTAGACTAGTTCTTTTTACCTGGAAAATGGCTCTAGCTGTTCTGTTGCTCCTGGGCTTGTTCTGGTCTCTGGTGTACTGCCAGACCTTTCCTTATGTCTCCTTCATGAGCCAGACTCTGGCCAACCATTCCTACGTGGACCTCAGTCTAGTGGGGAGTGCTGGAAGTGGTAGTGACAGTGTTCAGTGTATCACTGACCTGAACACGTGTTGTAGTGGTCAACAGGGTTTTCATCGTGGAGACTGGTACTTCCCTGATGGAACTAGACTGCCATTCTCTGGAGGTGGTAATATCTATGAGAGTCGTGGAGTTGAGAGAGTTGATCTAGGTCATCATAACAATCCCACCTCACCAGTTGGTATCTATCGCTGTGATATTCAAACTAATGCTGTCTATGATGATAGTGACATCTCAGTGAGAGACACAGTCTATATGGGACTGTATTATCCCAGTGGAGGTATATATGTTTCCTAGTTATTGCCAGCTATATGTGAGAAGACAACGTAGAAGTTGGGTGATATTCCCAGTAAGACAATGTGTGTCTTTACCTGATTTGACATTTAAAAGAAATTATTATTAGGACTGGTATAAAATGCCACACTTGTGTTTTAGGTGATGTTAAAATACCTGGAGGTATGACATATGATCCGAGCACAGAAACCCTCACCTGTATCTCCACTGGTGGACCTGCTACCACTGTCACTTGGACCAGAGACTCCACCACTGTCACCCAAGGAACCCAGACTGTGTTGAATGACCCAGTGACTGCACAGTACACCCACACTCTGAATGTGACTGGGAGATTTCCTGTACTGTACACATGTACTGTGGCTAACAACAACCATCTAATGATTCTGGATGCATTGCAATATCTGCCCACATACCAGTCACTATTCTTCCACTGAATGCTAAAACTGTTAGGATTTCGTGGACAAGCAGCGAATTCCTCTCCACTTCATTTCAATACAACAGCTCTGTCAATGCCTCTGGACTAGTAATAACTCACTACAAAACGGTCCTACAACCTAACACTGGATCTATAGACGTTTCACTAGATGATGAATTTGAAGGATATGAGCACAGATTCACTCTTAGCCACATCTATAACTGTGATCAAGTTATAGGTTTAGCTGCTCCTGCTGTAAAGTTTTCCTTCGGTATGTGTACCTTACCTTATTTTATAATTCCTATTATGTCTCTTTTATTAGATAAGACGTATTTTCAAATTCAGTTTGGACCCTTTGACTATTGCCTCGACTGGGGAGTAAGTTATATATTCTACTATGAAGAAGTAGTTATCTCATATATATCTCCACAGGTAAAAAAAGTTTCCCGTATTGAACATCAGCTGCAGTCCAGGTTGATTCGAATCATTCGTGAAACCTGTGCTGAATGCTTTCAACTATCGCCATCCTTCCTGAGGAAAGGAGTGTTTCTTTGCCATGGCAACCCCAACTAAAACAACCTACCGCACCACTCTGGTTAACCCTTTCCCCACCACAAACTCCACCCACCTGGTGGGCATTATTCAGAGTTGGGTGTCCACGGGCCCCTCCCTCGTTCTAGACGGTAGGCTGGTGAGGGTGAGTCCCTCCTGTCCCACCTCTATCTCCAGTCTCGATGAAGAAGAGTGTGAGACTGGAACCAGGTATGACCCGGGACTGGGGGACAGGATCACTCAGACACTCAATGTCTGTGCTCTGAGGAACCTCGGAGAGGATGTCTGTCGTCTTGGAGGCTGTTGAAACTATACTCTTAGAGTGTGTCGTGTATTCTGCGAACTTCTAGATGTAGTTAGGTTCATAACTGTAGTGAAAGTACTAGCTATATATACTAGTGTTTTGTGGTGCAGTTTTCATAATTCCCTCCATCTTTCTTCTTTCATCTTTCTTCAAGGAGAAAGAAAAACGAAAAGACACCTTTAATTTTGAACAAAGGTGCTGCTAGAGCGCAAATAAAATTGCATAGGGGTTTAAGCGTGTTTTGATCATTAGCTAATGTTACATGCAAACAAAATTCAAACGTTTAGGTTGGGTTTGCCTTGCCAGCCCTTTTTATGAGGGTGTTTTGATGAAAAAGCTTCTGTAACTTCCTTTCATAATCCCCTCCATCTTTCTTCCATCCCTCCTCCCTCTCAGCTGACAGTTGGCCAGATACACTACTGGACTCTGCTGCGACTGGATCCCACACTATGACCTACCAAATATGGTCGAGATCATGATCAGAGATATCGGGGGAATCGTCGAAAACGAGAAGAAACAAAATTTGACTAAAAACTAGAACTGTATTTCATATTTTTTGTATATAGTTGATTTGTATTTCTGACCATGACTTATAGTCAATTTTCATCCTTCTTCATGTGGTGGATAAGATAGTTTGTATATTATATATGGATGATCAATTCTCTGTTTTCTGAGTAATATTAGAGTGGTTCACTCTAATCTCTGACATAGCTATAGTAAAGCCATTCTATGACCCACCTTTTGTGTGTAGTATGGTATGTGGGATATGTAATCATTTTTGCTGGCGGTGCAGAATCAGAAATAGAGAAACATGCCTGTGATTCACTGCCTATGGCTGATGTTGGTCTGCTGGTCTGTGGGAGAAGTATACTGCCAGACCTTTCCTTATGTCTCCTTCATGGACCCAGACTCTGGCCAACCATTACTATGTGGACATCAGTCAAGTGGGGAGATGATCTCAGTGGTAGTAACAGTGTTCAGTGTATCACTGACCTGAGAACATGTTGTCGTGATGTTGAAGGTCCTCATCGTGGAGACTGGTATTTCCCTGATGGAACTAGACTGCCATTCTCTAGAGATGGTGATATCTATGAGCAACGTGGAGATTAGAGAGTTGACTACGTCTAGGAACAGTGCTAACCCACCAGCTGGTATCTATCGCTGTGATATTCCAACTAATGCTGTCTATGATGATAATGACATCTCAGTGAGAGACACAGTCTATGTGGGACTGTATACTGCCAGTGGGAGTAATGTTACTAATGTTTCCCCCTAAGGTATTATGGTGAGTATGACTAAGCATAGAAAAAAGAGAGTGAAACCCAAAAAAATCTGTCCATTATTAAGAAAGTGATATTATGAGGATTAACTTTTTAGCCAATTTGTATATACTTATCCCCATTATAAAACTAATAATGGGGATAGCTACTTCTTTTCGAAGACAGCTATGGCTAATCGTAGTCCTTGGTTTACTCTGAGACCCTTTCTTCACCATCTCCGACCATTGATGTTGAGCGCGATAGTGGACAACGATTGTGATGATGAAACACTGCTTTTTTAACACGTAGTCCATTATAGTCTGTTTATAATTGTGTAGGTGATGTTACAATTTCTGGGGGTGTGACATATGATCTGAGCACACAAACCCTCACCTGTATCTCCACTGGTGGACCTGCTACCACTGTCACTTGGACCAGAGACTCCACCACTGTCACCCAAGGAACCCAGACTGTGTTTAATGACCCAGCGACTGCACGATACACCCACACTCTGACTGTGACTACTGCAGGAGAGTACACCTGTACTGTGGCTAATAACAAGCCATCTTCTGCTTCAGCTAGCACAGTTGTAGCAGGTAAAATTTCCACAAATCACTGTTTTGCCATGCAGGCTAAAAAAAAGTGAATACTAGAGGAATGCAACACCTTTTTGGCAAGTGAAAAGCAAGCAGTTCTAATATTTTGTGCGTGTTACGGTATGTGCTCCCGCATTTTAGACAGGCTCGCTTCACTCGCCAATTATGTGAAATGATGCTCGTTTAACTCTCAGTGTTGACAGAGCTACAGGCACTCTCCAAGTGCTTGTGAACTAAAGCAATAATGGTTGTTGTGAAAGTGTCACTACAGGGCCATATAGGTTGGGAGGTCAACAGCATGATTTCTTCAATAGAAAAATTCCATATTTCAGGTTCCCACCTCCCAATGTTAGTATAATAATGAGTGATTTATTTTCAGGTCCCCCGCCTCCCACTGACGTGACAGCAGTCCAGAATGGTCCCACTAGTATTACAGTGACCTGGACTCCTCCTAATCCTCTGGATAGTATCACTGGCTACACCATCTTCTACACTGCAGGAGGTGGCAGCAGTGGTAGTGTGCTAGTGCATGATAGAAACAGCAACAGCCTCACACTGGCAAATCTTAACAATGGAGTGAATTATACCATATTTATTGCTAGTACTGCATCAGTCGGTTTGCTGAGTGAAACCACAGAAGCCTTGCCCGTTGATCTTGGTAAGTTAGCTACGTGCATTAAAACCCTTTGGGCGCCATAGGTGTCTCCTTAAATAAGCAGAAATTCATGTATAATATATTAGCGCCTAGTATTATAGCCATATATAAATTCTTATGCACTTATGGAGGCTCTGTGCATATATATATGTAAATGGTGCCCAAAAGGTTAATAACCCTTAAAAAAGCTAGGTGTCTATGTCTAGTACACTTTAAACTCTGTGCTTACCTATTCTGCAGTTCCGTTCCCATCACCAACCCTCTATTCATCTTCAAGAGTTACACTTACGACAATCACCATCACTGGTAGAGTTCCCATTGGTTCAGTGGTGACTGGATTTGTAGTACAGTGGCAAAGAGACACCTCAGTTGGATGCTCTGATGAAGACGAAGGAACAATTGCTGTAAATAGTACCTTTGCTACCTATGTGATAAGTGGACTAGAACCGGGAAATAGGTATTTGATCACTGTGAGACTATTCAATGCAGCTGGTAGTGGTCCAGTCAGCAATACCATTACTGCTTCAACGGAAGAATCAGGTAACTTTATCACCTACTTCTTTAACCAACTAACAGCAATGTTTGTAAATTCTCCACAGCTCCTTCTAGTCCACCCTCGTCATTCAGGAGAGTTACAATCACACCAAACAGCATCACTGTCCAGTGGGGAGAATTAGAGTGTCTCGGTCGCAATGGAGTCATAACTGGTTACACTGTCCAAGTATTGAGGAATGGGGGAGTTGAAGGAACAGTTGAAGTTGGTGGCGATGTTCTAGAAGCAACTGTACCTGGACTGACTCCATCCACTACATACAGCGTTCAAGTGGCAGCAGTCAATTGTGTTGGTACTGGACCTTTCACCAGCAGCATTTTCTTTCAGACTGAAGGTGAGTAGCTATAGGTTATGGAGCCATGATGCAGTTTTGGTGGGATGACAAGCATGTTTACAACTTGGTACAACAAATGTGCTTTCTTCTCTTTTTTTGTCTCACAGCACTTGTGGTGGGACTGGAGAGAACGTCCTACACTGTCTCAGAATCAGTGGAAGCTGTTGAGATCTGTATCACTGCAGTAGGAGCCAATACTCCATGTCCCAGCACTCAGTCTTTTCAGGTCACCCTTTCAACCACTGATGAAAGTGCAGGTATAGCTATATTGCTTACACAATATCACTAGCATACAATACTCTCTTTGCTCTAGTGAGCCCTTCAGACTATGAAGCTGTGAGTGAAGTGTTGACATTTGCTCCCTGTGACACCCAACATTGTGTGAATGTGAGCATCACAGATGATCTGGTGAACGAACCAGAGGAAACATTTTCCCTCACTCTCAATAAGATATCATCATTCATAACTCTCAGTACAACTGCTGGAGAGGTGCTCATTACTGATGATGATGGTAAGGAGTTTAAAGCCTAGGACATGGTTTAGTGGTAATGAACAGGATTTCCAAAAGAAAGTTTCTACTTGACTAATTTCACTTTAGTTCTCACTGCAGTAAAGTGTGTTTCTTATCTGCAGAAGTTTTTACTGCGGCAAAAACTGTGTTCATACCTACAGATAAACCGGAAGAAGTCAGGTTCCTCCCAGTGAATGCCACAGCTGTCAGGATCTCCTGGAGTGGCAGTGTTCACCTCCCCACCTCCATCATCTACACTGTCTATTGCTCCACTATAATTATGAGACAGTATGAGAGGGTTTACTCACCTGGAGTGACTTTTGCTGACATTGTTCTGGAAGATGACATCACTCTTACTGACGTTTACGTTCACAACTTCACTCTCTATTACATATTTCCAGATGGTGTCACCCCAAACCAGACTGTAGCAATCTTTACTTTCGGTAAAGGATTTGTTAGTTGTTTGGTTTCGGATTTAGTGACATTGTTGTTTCTCTCTACAGATAAGGGTGTCTTTCAGATTCAGTTTGGGCCATTTTACTACTGCCTCGACTCAGTAGTAAGTTTTTATTAAATTGAGCAAGATTGCTCACTTTTTTGTTCTATTTCTTAGTTCAAGAAGATTGCTCGTGCCATTGAAGAACAGCTACAGTTGTACTTGATTGACATCATACGTAAAAGCTGCCCTGAGTGCTACAGTTTAACTCGTACGTTTCTGAGGCCAGGATTGTTTCTTTGCCATGGTAACCCCACTAAGACCACCTACCGCACCACTCTGGTTAACCCATTCCCCACCACAAACTCCACCCACCTGGTGGGCATTATTCAGAGTTGGGTGTCCACGGGTTCTTCCCTCGTCCTCGACTGTTTGCTGGTGAGGGTGAGTCCCTCCTGCCCCACCTCTATCTCCAGTCTCGATGAAGAGGAGTGTGAGACTGGTGGTGCAAGACATGACCCGGGACTGGGGGACAGGATCACTCAGACACTCAATGTCTGTGCTCTGAGGAACCTCGGAGAGGATGTCTGTCGTCTTGGAGGCTGCTGAAACTATACTCTTAGAGTGTGTTGTGTATATTCTGCGAACTTCTAGATGTAGTTAGGTTCATAACTGTAGTGAAAGTACTAGCTATATATACTAGTGTTTTTGTTGTATAGTTACTCCATGTTCTTATGCTGCTGTAGTGTTAATAGTAGGCAAGCAGTCTGTACTGTAGTAAGATGTGTGAAATTGGAACTGAGGTCCCTATATTTCAGTCAATCATATATAGTCCAAGCAGAGCAATCCTAAAATTGTCTGGTCAATTTATTGGATAACTGTGTCACATTTGCTTCAGTGGTACATTTTAATACTAACCGATAAAGGACACTTGTAGCAAAGAGCTTATAGATTTGAGTGTTAGTCGTATCTGCTCTTTAAGACAGAGCCGGGTGGGTTCCTGAACACTGTGTGAAAATATCTCTAATCCGTTTGCCAGTGTAGTCAATTTCCATGAGTTGGTTTACCACTACATCCACTACACCATTCTCTTTCTCTCCTATCACCTGTGTATAATATATAGGCCACTATAAAGTGTATAGAGGCTCCTCCTGAAAGGTTCAACACAGACGGTCGTGTCTACAACATTCAAGCCGTCAGTTTCACTCCCGGAGAACTGGTGGAGGAGATGAAGAAACACGTCGACGATTTTGTTGTTGAGTATCGTCCCGACGAGAGGCAGGCAATTGGTGGGTGTGGCCTAGGGAGATTAGTGGGAGGGGCTTAGACCAGAATTTAGTACATATATACAATGTACAAAGATAACGTAAATACTGGTGTATGTTTTTCTGCTGCAATCTGCATAATGACAACTCACACTTTCACATGGAGACAGAAAAACTAGAGAGAGAGACGCATGATTTAAACAAGGCTTTACTAAAGCAGAAACAATGCAAGCGAATGGATACAAGTGCAAAATTACACCATTTACATGGCATAATTCATGCGACTGGGTCGAGCTTGCTGTCTGCCAATAATATGACCTTTATCATTAGGGTGATGCGACAAAATAACTCATAATCCCCTCCATCTATCTTCCATCCCTCCCTCTCAGCTGACAGTTGGCCAGATACACTACTGGACTCTGCTGCCAGGGAAGCTCTAGACTGGACCCCACACTATGACCTTCCAAATATGGTCGACATCATGATCAGAGATATCGGGGAAATCGTTGAAAACGAGAAGAAGAGACAAAACTTGACTTAACACTAGAACTGCATTTCGTATTTTTGTAGTTGTTCCTTTGTTGTCAAAGATTTGTACACTAGCTATATATAATAATATCTGACCATAAGCTATAGTCCATTTTCATCCTCAATCCTTCATGATGGAGCGAGAGAAAATAAGATAGTTTGCTTGTAGCATAATCAATTCTTCAGTAGTTTTGCTGAGTATAATCTTGGAGCATTATCTCTAACAATGGCTGTAGTAAAACTATAATACCATTCCATAAGTCTCCTTATGTGTGGGTGGATATATTATCCATATTATTGTAATCCTTTTGCTGGCGTTGCTGCAATCAGCAATAGAGAAATATGGCTGCGATTCACATGCTATGGCTGATGTTAGTTTGCTGGACTGTGGGAGAAGTATACTGCCAGCAGACCTTTCCTTATGTCTCCTTCATGGGTCAGACTCTGGCCAACCATTCCTATGTGGACCTCAGTCAAGTGGGGAGACCTGATGTTGTTAATGGTGAAGGTGTTCGGTGTATCACTGACCTGAGCTCATGTTGTAGTGGTACTGAGGGTTCTTATCGTGGAGACTGGTATTACCCTAGTGGAACTAGACTGCCTTTTGTTGCATCTAATGTTGATACCTTTGAGACTCGTGTATCTCAGGGAGTTGACATACGTCGTCTAAACAGTGATGCTATCACACCAGTTGGTATCTATCGCTGTGAAATTCCAACTACTGCTGTCCATGATGATACAGTGAGAGACACAGTCTATGTGGGACTGTATACTGCCAGTGGAGGTATGTTCCTTGCTAACAATGGTGTTCTCATGAAAAGACTAAGCTATAATGCTTGCTTGATTAACCCAGATTAATAAGAGGGCCACAACCTCAATAAACACAGCAATGATTAATTGTACTAGGACTGTGTGTAGTATGTTTGTGCAAAACAAGGTGACCACCACTAAGTAATTGGTGTACTTGTTGAGTCTGTCAGTCCTTGCCTTGCATGGAGTGGCAAACAATAAGTGAACCTCAGTCTATATTGGTGAACAGTAGTAACGGTCACTATGTGGAATGCTTCTGTTTGTGTAGGATGTGTAAGACACGCTCACTGCTGTTTTTAAGCCGTACTTGTGAATTTCAGTCTGCAACAAGTGACTTGTGATAGCTAGAGTAGCTAGTTCTTGGGGAAAATGGCTCTAGCTGTTCTTTTGCTCCTGGGCTTCTTCTGGTCTCTGGTGTACTGCCAGACCTTTCCTTATGTCTCCTTCATGGGCCAGACTCTGGCCAACCATTCCTATGTGGACCTCAGTCTAGTGGGGAGACCTGACTCTATTGATGGTGGTGAAGGTGTTCAGTGTATCGCTGACCTGGGCACATGTTGTACTAGTGGTGATGGTCCTCATCGTGGAGACTGGTATTTCCCTGATGGAACTAGACTGCCTTTTGCTGCATCTAATATTGGTACCTTTGAGACTCGTGTACAACAGAGAGTTGATTTACGTCGTAACACTAATGCTAACTCACCAACTGGTATTTATCGCTGTGATATCCCAACTAATGCTGTCCATGATGCCACTGACACCTCAGTGAGAGACACAGTCTGTGGGACTGTATACGGCCAGTGGAGGTATGTAAGAAATGCACAATGGTGTTCTCATGAAAAGACTAAGCTATAATGCTTGCTTGATTAACCCAGATAAATAAGGGGGCCACAACCTAAGTATAAACACAACAATGATTTATTCATGGTATAAGGCTGTGCGTAGTATGTTTGCACAAATTACGGTGACCATGCCATTTGCTGTTAGCCTGTGTTTGAAATGTGCCTTGTAATTGTGTACCTGAGTCTGTACTTGCCTATTCAGTGAGTGGCAAACCGTTTCATGTAAACCTCAGCCTATATTAAGTAGCTAACCGGAATGCTTCTGTTTGTGTAGGATGTGCACTTCTGTTTCTAGGCTGTACTTGTGAATTTCAGTCTGCAACAAGCGATAGCTGAAGTAGCTAGTTCTTGGAAAATGGCTCTAGCTGTTCTGTTGCTCCTGGGCTTGTTCAGGTCTGGTGTACTGCCAGACCTTTCCTTATGTCTCCTTCACAGGCCAGACACTGGCCAACCATTCCTATGTGAACCTCAGTCTAGTGGGGAGACCTGAATTGGGTGGTGACGGTGTTCAGTGTATCACTGACCTGGAGACATGTTGTAGTGGTCCACAGGGTCTAACTCATCGTGGAGACTGGTATTTCCCTTATGGAACTAGACTGGCATTCCCTATTCATGGTGATATCTATGAGAGTCGTGGTTCTGAGAGAGTTGATCTACGTCGTAGGAACAATGCTAACTCGCCGACTGGTATCTATCGCTGTGATATTCCAACTAATGATGTCCATGATAATTACATCTCAGTGAGAGACACAGTCTATGTGGGACTGTACACTGGCATTGGAGGTGTGTTGTCTGCTAAATATTCTTGACTGCTAAATGCAAAAAGACGAAGTTGTATAATTATATTCCCTGAAAGACGATGTGTGTCTTTTACCTGATTTGACATTGAGAAAAACCAGCAATTTGTTGTGCAAGGACTGCATGTAGTAGATTGGTATAACATGCCACACTTGTGTTTTAGGTGATATTACAATTGCTGGAGGTGTGACATATGATTCTAACACACAAACCCTCACCTGTATCTCCACTGGCGGACCTGCTACCACTGTCACTTGGACCAGAGACTCCACCACTGTCACCCAAGGAACCCAGACTGTGTTGAATGACCCAGTGACTGCAGAGTACACCCACTCTCTGAATATTGGACTACCTGGACTATACACATGTACTGTGACCAACAACAAACCCTCTGCTGTGTCTGCTAGCATAACAATGGAAGGTATAATTAACTATTAGTTTCACAGAATGATCAATGTTGTTGTGTGTAGGTCCCACTGATGTGACAGCAGTCCAGAATGGTCCCACTAGCATCAGAATAACCTGGACTCCTCCTTCTCCACTGGGACGTACCACTGGCTACACCATCTTCTACACTGGAGGAGGCAGCAGTGGCAGTGTGCTAGTGGATGATAGAAACAGCAACAGCCTCACACTGGCAAATCTTAACAATGGAGAGACTTATACTGTATCTATTGCTAGTACTGTGTCAGTCGGTTTGCTGAGTGTAATAATAACACTGCCTGTTGATCTCGGTAAGTTACACACAAAGTAAATGGCAAAAGCTAGGTGACTATGCCTAGTACACTTTAAACTCTGTGCTTACCTATTCTACAGTTCCATTCCCATCACCAACCCTCAATTCATCTCCAAGAGTTACACTTACAACAATCACCATCACTGGTAGAGTTCCCACTGGCTCAGTGGTGACTGGCTTTATAGTACAGTGGCAAAGAGACACCTCAGTTGGATGCTCTGATGAAGACGAAGGAACCATTGCTGTAAATAGTACCTTTGCTACCTATGTGATAAGTGGACTAGAACCGGGAAATAGGTATTTGATCACTGTGAGACTATTCAATGCAGCCGGTAGTGGTCCAGTCAGCAATACCATTACTGCTTCAACGGAAGAATCAGGTAACTTTATCACCTACTTCTTTAACCAACTAACAGCAATGTTTGTAAATTCTCCACAGCTCCTTCTAGTCCACCCCGGACATTGAGGATAGTTACAATCACACCAAACAGTATCACTGTCCAATGGGGAGAAGTAGAGTGTCTCGGTCGCAATGGAGTCACAACAGGTTACACTTTCCAAGTATTGAGGAATGGGGGAGTTGAAGGAACAGTTGAAGTTAGTGGTGATGTTCTAGAAGCAACTGTACCTGGGCTGACTCCATCTACTACATACATTGTTAAAGTGGCAGCAGTCAATCGTGTTGGTGCTGGACCTTTCACCAGCAGCATCTTCTTTCAGACTGAAGGTGACTACCTAGTTTTGGAGCCATGATGCCGTTTTGGTGGGATGAAAAACGTGTTTACAACTTTGTACAACAAATGTGCATGCGGAAAGGTTGCTTTCTTCTCTTTTTCTGTCTGCCAGCACTTGTGGTTGGACTGGAGAGAACATTCTACACCGTCTCAGAATCAGAGGAAGCTGTTGAGATTTGTATCACTGCAGTAGGAGTCAATACTCCATGTCCCAGCACTCAGTCTTTTCAGGTCACCCTTTCAACCACTGATGAAAGTGCAGGTATAGCTATATTGCTTGATTATATGCTCAGTTAAAATCACTAGCATACAATACTCTCTTTGCTCTAGTGAGCCCTTCACACTATGAAGCCCTGAGTGAAGTGTTGACGTTTGCTCGCTGTGACACCCGACATTGTGTGAATGTGAGCATCACGGATGATCTGGTGAACGAACCAGAGGAGACATTTTCCCTCAGTCTCAATAAGATATCATCATTCGTAACTCTCAGTACAACAGCTGGAGAGGTGCTCATTACTGATGATGATGGTAAGGAGTTTAAAGCCAATGACATGCAGTTTTAGTGGTAAATTTCCAAACAAGCTTTCTACTTGACTAATTTCATTTTAGTTCTCACTGCAGTAAAGTGTGTTTCTTACCTGCAGAAGGTGTTACACTGCAGCAAAAAGTGTGTTCATACCTACAGATAAACCGGAAGAAGTCAGGTTCCTCCCAGTGAATGCCACAGCAGTCAGGATCTCCTGGAGTGGCAGTGTCCACCTCTCCACCTCCATCATCTACACTGTCTATTGCTCCACGACTGTCGTTAGAAAAATGAAAGGGTTTACCCACCTGGAGTGACCTCAGCTGACATGTTCTGGAAGATGACATCATCCTCACTTCTACTTCTTACGTGCACAACTTTACACTGTATTATGGTGATGCCAACCCTTCGCCAGGGAATAACCCTTCAACATTGACAACCTTTACTTTTGGTAAAGTATAGATACTTTTGTGGTGTGTGATAAATTGTTTATCCCTGTGTAGACAAAACTTACCTTCAGATTCAGTTTGGGCCTTTTTACTACTGCCTTGACTGGGAAGTAAGTCTCTTAGAATGTAAGATTGCAAAAATGATTATTATAACCATTGTTTATGCAGTTCAAGAAAGTTGCTGCTATTATCGAGAGAGAGTTACAGTTCTACTTTGTTGAGATTATACGTAACAGTTGCTCCGAATGCTACAGTTTATCCCAGAGCTTTTTCAGAAAGGGGGTGTTTCTTTGCCATGGCAACCCCACTAAAACCACCTACCGCACCACTCTGGTTAACCCCTTCCCCACCACAAACTCCATCCGCCTGGTGGGCATTATTCAGAGTTGGGTGTCCACAGGTCCTTCCCTCATTCTTGACGGTCTGCTGGTGAGGGTGAGTCCCTCCTGCCCCACCTCTATCTCGAGTCTCGATGAAGAGGAGTGTGAGACTAGTGGTGCAAGACATGACCCGGGACTGGGGGACAGGATCACTCAGACACTCAATGTCTGTGCTCTGAGGAACCTGGGAGAGGAGATATGTTCTCTTGGAGGCTGTTGAAACTATACTCTTAGAGTGTGTCGCGAACTTCTAGATGTAGTTAGTTTCATAACTGTAGTGAAAGTACTAGCTCTAGCTAGCTATATGCTCGTGTTTTGTTGTGGTACAAGTGGAAAAACCATGAAGGGGGATATAGGGATGGCTTGAAGCACAGAAAAGGAAGAAACAAGGGATCATTACACAGCAAAGATGCGCAAAGCCACATGACACCATCCGTATGAATGTGTCTCAATGAGCAAATAACTATGAAAATATAATGGTTACATAAAACGAATACTGTAAGTCTTTTTCATTGTGTAGGTATACCTGATGAAAGCAATTTGCATAATCTGCTTCAAGCATGCGACTGGTGTGCTAAAGAAGCCAATTTTTTGGTCATTTTGGCTTGTTGCCGAGCGCGTTAGCGTGAGGCAACTACTCCGGGTTGTATTCTCGTATAATTAACCCTCGGCGCGCATGCGCAGCGAGGGTTACGTAGTCGTCTGTCTGTCTGTGTACGTCTACGACTATTCTCGCACTACAGGCTACGAGGCGGCTTATGAGCGATACCAACAGCGTTAGAGGTACACGGGCTAGAAAAATGGCGATTTTGCTGAAACGACTGCGTTCGAGAGCGACAAACAAACTAGCACGGTCGCGGACATGACGACAGCGTTGCACAATAAGCGGTGCGCATGCGTATATTTGACGCGATCAACGCAAGCAGTATGCTGGCTCATCTCGGCCTGATCCGCTTGCTCTGTGTACCTTGGAGGCACATGAAGCCACAGTGAAGGGTGTGTATCGACTCCCGCATGCTATCTACTACCGTAGCTAGGCCGTGTCAGACTCTCCGCGAGCTACCAGCGGGAGACCGCGCCAATGGAGCCCAGCCCATCGGTATCGCGCATGCGCAGTTCGCCGAGGGTTTGCACTTAAAAGTAGTATACGTACGTGTCGTCACGCTTAAGAATCTCAATTAGTCACGCTTAGGAATGTCACTCCCGTCATTCGTAGGAAGTCTAGCTTCCGCGATCCGCCGCGCGCGCGCGCAGCAGATTCGTAGGCTTCGCGCGCGCGCGCAGTTAGTAGAGTGTGCGCGCACGAGCGGCCTCTCTCAGTCGGATGTTTACGCATTGGCTGGCGCAGGCGCGAGGCAAAATAATTAGGCGCGTGCGCATTCCTGATATTTTTTGCCACGAATGTTTGCACTATGGCCAAGTCTGGAGCTCAGTTTTTAGTGACATTTCACTCTAGAAGAATGATGGTTGAGCATGGCTTTTCTAACGTTTCGACACCCCACGGCACCTACAGTACGCAGGTGCTGTCTTCAGGGCACCTATATAGCAGTGCACCAATTGTAGCTACAATAGAGGTTTCAACAACATGCTAAAACAAAGCAGTATTGTCAATAAATTTACACTCAAAAAACAATATCTCGCTAATGCACACTGCCAACTACGCAGCATGTTTTTTAAACAATAAATGTATAATACGGCACTAAACAACGTTGACATTGTGAATTCTAAGTCGAAAACGATAAATTACCCTGTGAAAAGCCTAGACTGATGTTACAGAGTTTTTGTATGGAGTAAATAACACACGCACAGTGTGTGTGCGCGGAGGTAAAAGGTTAGGACATTGTGCCGAACACAGGATTGTGGCGACAGATGCTGGGTCCGTGCTCATCATAGTCCTTCTTTGTGTGACACACCTCATAAAACTCCGGCTGTGGACGGAGGGGGAGAGAGGGACAAAGAAGACCAAGAAGCACAGGGAAGTGGTTAATAGCAGTATTCATAGGCATAGGGACAAAGTTTACATTGGTGGGTAGGCAGAACTTTATTAGCAACTTCATAGGCAAAAACGTAAGAATTTTGTGTTTTTCTTCATCAGTGTGTATAGGCAAATGCCCTCCCCTACTGGGCACTCCATTCCAAAATGCTGATGGAGCATTCTTAGAACCCCTTCAGAGTTAACAGAAGAAATGGGAGGGGAGGAGAGGAAGAGGGCTATATACAGAGAAAAGCGTCTGTGCTTATGTACAGAGCGGGCAGACTCACAGTAGAGGCCAGCATAGAGCCTCCAAACCACACAGCATATCGCTGCATGTGGTGAGTGATCACTTGCGTCTCAATCGGCTTGGGCTGCATACATAGTAGCAATAATAATATGAGTGAACCCACACATAAAATTTAAACGTGACACAAATGGCACCAACAATGTCACTGCTCACTAAGCACTACAGTTACTATTATTGTATAGTAACACGCAAACCATTAACTACACATGTGAATGTCACCAGTCTCACTCAGCAAATACCTTCGTTTCAGCTTTACTACGACGGCTTGTGAATATACAACACACAGCACAACACATTGTATCATGAAAAGTATATTTAGAGCATACAAGCCACAGAGAATAGAAAAGAAAGAAAACCAGAAGTCACCCTCCACCCCCCATCCTCCACCCAGTACATACACAGACACAAACAACACAGTTGCACACAACAAGGTAGGACACCAGGTGCCCAGCCTTGAGAACTAGGGCGGTGGGTTGTCTCTTATGGCATGCCCACACACCTAGTGTCCAAACCCAATGACAAACAATCACAATGACAGTTACAATACAGAGGCATGTCTGCCTTCACTGGCCGAAACTCCTAAGACTATTCTTAGTACTTAGGTTCAAATGCTGTGAAAGAGCACTGAATATGGGGCACCTCAGGGACTATGAAAGTGTCAGAAGCTTCCCTTATTTAGAGTTTACAACCTCAACTGGATAACTAGATTAAAGCCGCCTCATTTTCAGAGTCCTTATTGATCTAAACAATCTGCTCACCTAACAACACAAATGGATATTTAAAGTGAATGTAACAGTATGTACATAAGGGCTAAATTAACGTTACTAAACATGGCAATTAGTGCCCAGCACACGAATGCAATTAGGTTTCTGTTTTTAACTACATTTTAGCCCATTTATACTGCCACGTTCCTTATATGGTGCAGACTCTATAATATGAACCTTTAGTTTTCCTCCGCTGAGTTCGAAGCTGAGCTGCAGTCGAGCCTCCACCGTCCGTTTGAGATCTCTCTGCAGGCGACGGCCAAAGTCCTTGAACATGGTGGAGCCTCCAGACAGCACTATGTTCTGGGGAAGACAGGCAAGTATGTAAATCCACTGGGTCACTATAGTAAACTGAAGCTTAATTCCTGCAAAATGCTGCTTTTAATCACAAGAGTATTGGTTTCAGTTTTACATGAAATGTGATGTTAGAACGTTGACTGCTTGAGTCACAATACCAGGCCATATTTTAGAGTTGATCCCAATGGAGGCAAAATGAGAATTCGTGTGTCTATCAGACCTTGTAGAGAGGTCGCCTGACGTCGATGGGGCAGTTCTGGATGACGCTGTCCACGGCCTCAGAGATGGGAGTGGTGAAGTCAGGGTTGGCAAACTCTGGGTGGAAGAATATCTCGGGACCCAGGAACCTCTCATAACCCACATCCACAGAAAATGGCTGCAGATATGCATACATACATAACACTGGCAGTAATATGTGGTTTTGTATGGCCCTGCTTTAGTATCAGCTGTTTTCTTACACTAGGTCAACTGTTACACTGTTGTAGATTTCTTTCTTTTACGCAATCTGATTGGTCAATTTGAATCTGCCGACGTCTAAACTGTTTTAGATTTCTTTAAATTGTGTGTTACTCTTAAGATATATACACTTCTCTTTCTCTCAGCTAATGTGGTATTATAAACACACACATACAGAGAGAGGTGTGGTGTAAAAATGTTCGGTCAGATATCAACCAAAAATTTCTGGTGAGTATTATAATACCTGTTTAGTGATGGAGTTCTTTCCATCGTATGTCTTGAACCACTTGTCGGGCTGGGTGTCGTACTTGTTGAACTCTTTGGCTATGTCGGGACAGATGTACCCAAACTTCTCCTGTGCAGGCCGAGGGGAATGCATGAAAAGTATATTTATAGCATACTAGCCACAGAGAAGAGAAAACCAGAAGTCACCCTCCACCCCCCATCCTCCATCCAAGTACATACACAGACACAAACAACACAGTTGCACACAACAAGGTAGGACACCAGGTGCCCAGCCTTGAGAACTGGGGTGGTGGGTTAAAGAGTCTCTTACGGCATGCCAACTCTCCCCACACTCCCAGTGTCAGAGGAGTTACGACATGATCACGTGACAATCAAGTGCGGGCCTTGGACTGTAATAAAAAAGCACCGAGTCGGCACGAGATTGCGTCTACATGTATGTAGGGTATGCGTGTATAGTATGTATATCTATGCTATGAAAGTCACAAAAGGTACGCACGTAATATGAGCAATACTAATTGCACAATTGACTGCGTGTTTGTCTGCTGATACGGGTCAGAAAATACCTTCCGAGAATTGCGAGGGGTTTTGATTTGAAGTGTGCAAATTACCACAATTAGAGCTCGTCGATATAATTACACGCCATATTACAAACAAGTAAAAAGTCCCCAGCAAACATGTTAAAGTCCCCAATAAACACGTTTGCACTACAAACTCTGTGTGGGTTGATGTACAAGGCATGGAAGGAATGTACTGAAACTTTGAAGGGATGTACAGTCTAAATATTTCTGGGGAAAATGTTGCAGGTGGGAATAATTCCACTTCAGTCCATTTTGTCAGTGGGATTTATAATCCACGAAAGCCCTTTTGCCATGAATCACGAACGACAGAAGTTGCATGTGGCTAATCAACGGACCTTGATGGCCTTGGCAGTCTCCAGGGACTGCTCGGGGGGAATCCCAGACTCCCTCTCTCGGAGCAGCTGCTGGATGAAGTAGGTGATGTCGCGCCCGGCGATGGGGATGTGCTTGATGCAGCTGCCAATCACGTAGCCCTCAGCCTGCACAGAGTGTGCCATGGACATAGTGTAAACGTTAACAACAGAACAACCACTCCACTCCATAAAAACGAAACAATCGTAGCAAAATAATGCGGATTCTTGTAGCAAGAGAGGAAAAGAGAGAGTAGGAAAGAGTAAGTGTTGGTCGTGAAAGAGTAGGACATTGTTTCTGTGTGTTCACGTGTATGCGTGTATCAATAGCCAACCATACACAATTTCACAGTGAGGGGGACAGGAGCACACACACACACATGCACACACACGCACGCACGCACACACACACACACACACACGCACGCACGCACACACACACACACACAATGTCCTTCTGTTTCACAACCAACACTTACTATTTTCTTTCCCTCTTCCCTCTCTTGCTACAAGAGAGCGCATTTTGCTACGGTTGTTTCTGAGTGTGCCGTTCAAATAAAACCAAAACGAGGATGTAGTGAGAGTTTTACCACAGGGATGATGTGAGTGACGCCGTCTCCAGAGTCAATGACAGTTCCAGTGAGGGTTCTCTCTCCCACCTGTCTCGAGGTCCACGATGCTGCCAGCGCCAGTACCGCCTGCACGGGAGGGGGGAGGAGAGAGAGGTCAGGAGGGGGGAGGAGGGGGAGAAAGAATGGAGGAGAAAAGAAGCGAGACAAGACAAGTAGAAGAGATATGTAGGGTTGGGAAGTTATACAATTGTGACCCATGCACAAATGCGCAATATGGAATACTTTATGGCCCTTGGCTCGGTAGTGACAGAGACAGTACAGACATTTTACACCTGACGTCCCTAGTCAAAAAGTATACCCCAGCCATTTGTTATCGTTTTCCCCATTGCATGCATTGTGTTTTAGTGACCATTGGGACACAAGTAGAGAGATGGACAGACACAGTTAAGGAAAGTTTGGAGGAAAAAATGGAGAGAGGCAACTGGGAGAAAACTGGGGAGGAAAAGAGACCAGGAACAGAGTAGTAGAGGGAGTCAAGGGTGGGCAGACTAAATGAATTAGGGTGGAACTGCCAGTTATGATACCCCACCTGTGCATACAACACACCTAATAATTCACCCACCACAAAGAACTATACTCTTATACAGGCTCAATTAGCAAATCTGAATGTTGGAGGCTTAAATAACACCAGTCAGACAGATTTTGAAAATTATTGGGACATTTCATTAATTGCAGGTTGCGTTAAGCAGATACGTCATGCATGCCGGATGACATGACAATAACCGCCAATCAATCCTTTTGCCACAAGAGTAATGTTAGGACAAAAGGCCTAAAACCCACTGCAATACTTTCTAATGTAAGATTGAAGGCCATGTTTCCGCTGAACAGTTTGTAGTTCGTAAGAAGAAGTGGGGGAGAAACAGACAAGGGTGGTTGTAGTGTCCAGTCAGTGGTAGTACAACCTCATTATATTCAAGGCTTGAAAGGAGGCCGAGATGGTGGCAACACACCAATCATAGTAACTCCGAAAGCATCCCAGTCATTGTATTAACTTAACCCAGCACATCATACTTTCTATACGCACTTCAGCCATATTATAATACATAATAGACAACAACAGAAAGTGTACTTAACCATTGACCAATGTCTGTGTAGTACGTACATATGTACATATAAACAGCTCATATCAGTATCCACACCAAAACAACGGGGATACACATCCACAAGCATGCACACGCACACAAGCACGCACACACGCACTCACTCACCTGTACAGCGATATAGAGACCGGGCACGTTGAAACTCTCAAACATAATCTCGGCGGTGTACTCTCTGTTCTCCGGTGTGTTGAGTGGAGGCTCTGTCAGCAAGAAGTAGTGGTCCTCGGGCTCCGCGCGGAGGTACTTGAAGATGCACTGTTCCCAGAACCTCTCCATGAGGTCCCAGTCTTCCACCACTCCGTGACGGATGGGGTACTTGGTGGCATAGCCCACGGCCGCATCCGCTTCATCCCCGATGTAGAAGTCTGGGAGAAGAGGAGGAGGTGAAGGGGAGAGGGGGGAGTGAGGGTGTGTGTATACAACATTGTGTACCAGGCAACATGGGGGAGGGAGGGGGGCGTTGGTTAGATACAGTACAAAGTTGCATATATACACAGCAATACACGATGTATGTGTCTGTATGCATGTTATTGTCTGTGTTTGGGTATGTTATTGTCTGTGTTTTGTGTGCTTGGGTGGGGGAGGTTCTTTCTTTTCCTCCTTTTAGCTAGTATGCTATAAACATGTTTTTTCATGGAAGGGAACACAGGGGAGAAGGTGTGTTAGTAGTGATTTGCCCATTATACAAATGTACGAGATGTTGAGATCGCTGTCTGAAGAAGTGAGATTCAATCAAACAATCTCCTAAGTTTCTACAATAGCGTCTACATCTCCATACCATCCCAGGTATAGAGTACAATGAAGGTTGATGTCCATATAGCCCAAAAACTTTGTGCACTGAACCGAGATACAGGCCACTACTGCCTATTCCACCCACACCCACAAAAGGCTGAGGGCAACACCGCATAGTATGGTGGATGCATGCATGCATTATATATGTAGGCTATGGGTAGGCTTATACAAACAGAGCTAAAGTCAAAAAGAGAAACTGAAAATCATATTAGAAGTGTATAAACACGCAAAAATGGATTGTCAACCAAAGAGAAAGTGGGTGGATTTAATACAGGAGGTATATACCTTATCTGCAGGAAGTTTCAGCTTTGTATAGGGGTGGAATTCAGCATAAAAAGCAACCAACCATTCCCGGCATTGTACATTATAGTGTGCAAGCATAAATTTGTAAAGGATGAGCATCACTATCTGTACTTTGTGGCTGTGTCTGACCCTATTGGTCTCATACACTGGTGCAGCTACTGGCTCCCAACAAGTCAACTATGTGACTCCAACATCACCTGCTGGTATCTCCTGTCCCGGACAGCCCTGCCTCACTCTGGACCAGTATATTACCAGCTCCAGTACCTACATCATTTCGAACACAGTCTTTAAACTTCTCCCTGGAATACACCACATCACCAGGTCTTTTGTTGCACGAAACATTGAGTGCATCACCCTCGAAGGAGACATTGAAAGAAAGTCAAACCCTCAAGTGCAGATTAGCAGCTCACGTTATCTGTCGCAGTTTCTCGACACTGTTGATGTTTACATTGCTGGAATTGAACTGAAAATTGTAGGTATATCCCTCGAAGGCACAGAAAATGTCACTCTTTCTCAGGTGGTTGTTGATGGCCCCAGAACTGCAGTTAGTTTGCTTAACACCATAGATACCAACATATCTTGCTGCATCTTGAAGAATACCGGCTGGACAGCATTGACTCTGCAAAACACACATAATACCAGCATATGTAACACCACTTTGAATAACACCGGATGGCACGGATTGGATTTCTTCAACACATCAAAAACTGGAATATTGCACACCTTCATCAATAGCACTGGGTGGAATGGAATTGAACTACGACAGACAAATTGTACATTGATATCGTGTTCTACTGTAAACAGCACTGGTGGGACTGGTATTGAGATATACAATTCTTCACAGACTGGCATTTTTAGCACATTTGTGAATGAAACACGTTTGAACGGAATTGAAATACGACAGGCAAATTTTACAGTGATTTCTTACTCTGTTGTAAACAGCACAGGTTGGAATGGAATCCAGATATTTAATGCTTTCAAAACAAAAGTTACTGATACGCTTGTGAATGAAACAGGTTGGGATGGAATTGAAATACGACAGGCAAATTTTACAGTGATTTCTTGCTCGATTGTAAACAGCACAGGTTGGAATGGAATTGAGATTTTTAATTCTTCTCAAACTGGCATTTTTAGCTCATTTGTGAATGAAACAGTTTGGAACGGAATTGAGATTTTCAATTCTTCCCAAACCACAGTTAATTGCTCACTAGTGAACGAGACAGGTTGGAGTGGTATAGAGATCCGCAACAGTACCCAAGCTAGAGTGATTGGAACAAACATCACAAATGCAGGCCGGAGCAGGCTGGATTGCAGGTATACAGATACGCCCTGTACTGTTGAAACACCACCCAACCTGAACTGTAGCTGTAACAACGAGGACACGTGTAGCTCAGCACCACCAAACTTATTAACTGTACAATCCCCAGAATGCGGTAATGGAACAATTAGTGATGGCATAGTGACTTGCTCGAAACAAGTCAACTTTACGACTCCAACCTCGTCAGTGTATGAGAGATCCCAAAGCTCAACATATCCTACACCTATGCTGTCTGTGATTCAAGTAACTCCGGTCCCTTCTGTGGGAATATCTTCCCCAATCAATTATTCATCACATCTAAATGTCATCCGTAAGTATTATTTCTCTGACTATTAATCTATCTGCAATTTTCTCTAGATCAATACCATCACATCTTGGTGTAATGATGACACACACACACAAGTGAAAGCTGTTTCCGAGATAAAGCTATAGACACTACTGCACACTCACACAGAACGGCAAATTGTGTAAGTGTACATAAAGTAACAACGTGCAGTATCAGCAGTAATTTCTTATTAGTGTCTGTCAGTGCATTATGTACGAAACTTGCTCTTGTAAGGAGTTAAGTCAGACATTGTACTTGTATGGAGGGGTCGAGGGGTACACACTGACGAAGGCATGTGGATCCTGCTCCCACCACACTCACCCCAGACCTCATGTCTGTGGACTTCATGTTACAGACATCAAAGCCGTCCCATCCAAGAGTTAATCACTGTAGTGTTGTGTATGTGTGTACTTTTAGCATTGTCGAACTCTATGGCATTCCATCGAGAATTCTCGATAGTGCTCTGGACTATTGCAGTTTGCTCTGTGTGGCTAAATTCTATTCCATCCCTGCCAGTGTTGCTAACAGCTGTGTCCATCAGTGTAGTCTCCACTGCATCGAAAGCTTCAATTCCACTCCATCTTGTGTAGTTTACATGTGTGTGTTCAATCAGTGTACCTGTGTAGTTTGAATTTCTCACATCTATTTCATACGGCAGCTCTTCTTTTTCCTTGAAAAGAAGGGCTGTCCTGGGTGTAGTTGACTTGTTTGCCTTGCCTTTCTACCTCATTACCTCATTGTTGACATATGCCCATGTCTATCATTGATGCTGGTGCAGTACATAACTGTATGATTGGCTGGCTACAGTGTGATTCCATCTCCTTTGTACCCTTGATGGTTGTGTTTGTAGAGTTATTAGAGTAACTTTTATTACGCAAGTCAAGTCCATTTCCTCTGATATTGTGGAGATGATTGTGGAGTCACATAGTTGACTTGGTGAGAGCTCCTAGCGGCTCCAGTGGATGAGATCAATATATAGGGTGAGACAAGGATGCTCATCCTTCATAAATTAATGCTTGCACACTATAATGTACAATGGGAATTGTCAGCTACGTGTTATCATGGAGATCACTATTGTTGTTTCTGTGGTATTTTAAAACATCATTCCATTTTCATCGTCTTTCATGTGGGTGGAAAAGATTAATTGTAGGATAATCAATACTTGTTTTGCTGGTTGTTTCTTGTTAGGAGTATGAGATGACATAAACATAAATGATCTTTCCCTCTCCATAATGTGGGTGGATAGTGTAGTAGTGATAACCTTTCGGCTCTTGCTACAGTTTATTCAGCAGTTGTGTGAATAGAGAACAATGGCTGTGATTCACTTGCTATGGCCGATGTTGTTCTGTTGGTCTGTGGGAGAAGTATACTGCCAGACCTTTCCCTATGTCTCCTTTCATGGCCAGACTCTGGCCAACCATTCCTATGTGGACCTCAGTCAAGTGGGAGATCATGATGGTGGTGACAGTGTTGAGTGTCACACTGACCTGACAACATGCTGTACTAATACTGAGGGTTCTCATCGTGGAGACTGGTATTTCCCTAATGGAACTAGACTGCCCTTCTCTGCTGGTATGCTGTTTGATAATATCTACGAGCATCGTGATGCTCAGAGAGTTGAACTACGTCGTAGGAACTATGCCACCTCACCAACTGGCATCTATCGCTGTGATATTCCAACTAATGCTGTCCATGATGATATTGACATGTCGGTGAGAGACACAGTCTATATGGGACTATATACTGGCACTGGAGGTATGTTACAAAATAATGTGTCCTAAGGTATATATTATCCGATTAACGGCCGCATTTACGCGCACCCGCGCATGCGTAAACGCCGTATAAAAATTTGAAGTGTAAGGTCGTCACGGCTGTTTCAATTAGAACGCGTACCAACTTAGTGATGTCACGGAATCATTACGTAATCATAAAATTTCCGTAGCAACGGGGCGTTGGCAACGGCCCTATTTCTTTTTCACGGCGCTTTGCGCACCGAGGATTAGTGGGCGGAGTTTTTACGCAAAACCACGTTGACCCTTTGAGAAGACGCTACGAGTAGATACGTTTTTCGTGGCCCATGGTCGCTTCTCGACAGCGGCGCAGGCAGCAGAATGAACAGCTATCAAGCCTGAAAAGTTGTCTTCTACCGGATCGCCAGCAATTTTGAGAGAAAGTCTGATTGAAAAGGCAGAAGGGAAAAGCGTTAGACGACCGGTTTATATACTGTATGCGACGGCAAGCATCCTTGCGAAGGCGGTATTCTTGGTCATAATCTGGCCATATATTGATGTGTACGTGTATAATGACGGCCTATACAAGAAACAGTGGGATGCTACCGCTTTATCCCCCTTGCCTTCCACCGTCCCGTGGTGCTCTAGGAACAGTCAGAGCTGTCTCTCCAAGAAGAACAATGTCATGAGCATTCTTCAAGTAGGTTGTGTACAGTTAACTGACTCATCTCTATCTTCCACAACCTGTATTAGATTCCTTTTTGCAGCTGACTTTCAAACTACTTTTAGTCTTCAGCTCCAGCTTTGTGTAGTATGTTTGTTTATAATGTGTGTGCTCCATGTCTCTGTCTAGTATACTGGACAGTGTATGGTGGTACTTTATTCCTTCGTCGACACACATCGATATTGCACAGTATGTGGTACTTCATTCCTTCGTCGACAAACACCCACGCTGAGTTCAAGGAGTGTAGGTTTGCTGCTGAAATTCATTTCAGCATCTTCTGAACTAATAGTCACAGAATGTATATTGCAAGTTGTTCTGTTATACCCAAGGTTCACTTTACACTTTGTATCATGGGCGACATGGCTCGCGTCATGGTTTCTGTAGCTATCCATGTCAATGACTATTTTGAAATCCTACAGATGTTTTACAGTGTTTCCTATCTATCTCCTCTGAGCCAGAAGCGTAACAAAGCGCTGGGCAGGGGATACCAGGCTCTTTCTAACG